TTGAATATTATATTATGTTATGTTGCATTTCCATCATAATCAACATAAAGATTGCTTAAAGACACCATTCTGTGTGTAATAATTATATCATGTTTTTTTTTTTTTTTTGCCTTTGTGAACTGAGTTAAAATAAAATCAAATTAACTTTTAACTAACTCTTTTGATCACTTAGATGCAGCGCTTTGCAAATGGTGAGGTTCTTTGGCACAAGCACTTTGGCTAACACTCCTAGTGGAGGTTTACAGTCACAGTTGCATAGCAGTGAACCTAGGATTGCTTCTTCATAATTATGCAAGCTATTTATGTGTTATAGTTCTTTACTTTGACTTTTTTTTTACATCTCATGTATTAATCTATTTTTGGCAAGAAAGAAGCATATACGAAAAAGGTGAACAGAAAAAACATTTGAAATTATTCTGTGTGTAAAGAATCTACATTAAATAAAAGTTTGCTTTACTTTCTCAATAGAACTAGTGACTTATATCTCTTCAGTGATATTCTAATTTATAGAAATTAAACCCTTTGGTTTAACTTTCAATGCATTAAAGAAAAGTAAAAAGTTATTTTAGTGAAAAGGGTTGCATCTGGGTGGGATACAGCAGAGTGTTTGATTCAAATGTTGTTGGACTTTAGTCAGAAAATATATTTTTAGACTAAAAATGGTGTGAATTATAACAAGCACTGTCAGTTTGAGTCATTATAGAGGAAAAAGAAGGTCACTCTGTGTTGTAGTTTTCAAACATTTAAATACAAACAAAAGAGGAAGAGAAGCAGGGAAGGTCCCATGATATGGTCTAAGGATATCTTGAGTCAAAAGGGAAACTCCTCCCCTTAGCAGCCACATGAGGAAAACCCAGGCGTTCCAGTCATGTTGCCAATGCAACATAATACTGGCAGATTTAAAGAGAGAACAAATCCAAGTTTCTCAGGTCTCTAGTGAAATTAAAGAATTAAAACCCAACATGTGACATGTTGGCTTCAATTTCCCGTTAAACTGTATGAATAGTGTTGAATAAAGAGCATTCAGATGACACATTTAATCATAGTAACATGACTGGGATCTTATGATTTTGTGTTACTGCTGTTTGCATGAGAAACACTGCAGCCACACACCCAAACAAGAAAACGCCCTTTCTGCACAAGATACTTTCCAGCACCCATAAACACATATTGAGGTTAGGGACTCAGATAGTTAAAATGTTTATGGATTATCCAAGTGGGATTTTTTTTTTTTCTCTAGTTCAGGGTCGATTGTCATTGCTACATGTGATATTTCTTTTGGAAGGCATTACCTGCCCAGTGACAGGTCAGAAATGGCCACAAGCTTCAACTTTCTTCTGCATTTTTTTTATTTTTTTGGCTCAATTGCAATTAAATTGCTCTATTTACATCCTTTTGACACAAAATGCTCCTGAAGATATTTCTTATGGATATATAACACCAATATTAGAAATGCAAATAATCAAATAACATATTGAGATATTCATATCAGGACACTTGTATTACATATGCTACTATTTTATACTAAAATAGTTAGAGTTTTATATAGCTGTATCTCACCAGGTCTATGGGATTAGAGCATTGATCTTAGTTGGAGGTTTTGCCTTATTAAACCCCCTGGACTTTACGTCTGATGTGCTCCTACTTGAAGTGAGAATGAACACCTTGACCAGTAACTAAGGTTTATCAAAGGTGTTCTGTAGGGTGGTGAGGGATTTAATGAACTCTCAAATAAATCTGATGCTAGCCACTCGACTGTACCAAAAAATATTCTACAGAGACAGCAGTAATGTAACTTTCATGAGAGGTTTACAAGCCAGAAACCTTTGGTCTCTAAGAAAAACGTGAATGGAAAGGCAGAGGTTTGCCAGAGAAAGACCATGACTTCCATGCCTCGACACAAGCCTAGAATGTAAATGTTTTGAAAACAGATCAGAGGACAACTTTGCCATAAAGCAAATTCTGGAGCATCCCAGAAAAATCCCCCCATCCCATTTTGGGGATGTTTTGCTGTACTAAATGTGGTCAGAACCCACCATGAGTCACAGCCACAAATCTGAATATTGCCCAAAGCTGTAAAACTGTCTTCTGACACAGTTTAACTCTTATATAAAGTCATTTATGTGGCATATACCAACTCATAATGACCAAGTAATTTTGATGATCATGGCTAATAGATAATGAAAACCCAAAATTCTGTGTCTGAGAAAATAGTACACTAAAAAAAAAGTTCTTTCCTGGAAACTCATGGCGTCACTCCCTAATCTGGTAATTACAGCACAACACCAGCAAAGGTTTCCTAAGGCTTTAAACAATATCTCACATTGGGCAAGTAGACCAATAATTTTATAGGGAAGTTCACTACATTTGTGTAACTATTGTAGTTGGTCTGTTAGGAGGTTGTAAGCCCATTTGATAAGCATCAACCATGTGCATTTCAGATGCCTATTAATGACAATCGAAAGGTTGGGGGATGTCTGGATCCTGCGCAGCAGGCTTGAGTTCTTACTGTTGAAACCTTTTAAAGGTAAAAGAACAACTTGATAATTTTGGATGGAGCCTAAGCATATTAACAGAATATTTACTGTAAGGAAGATGTGTGGAAGGAAAAAGTGCACCAGGAACAAGAGTAATCGTCAAACAGAAACTGGAGCTTAAGAATCAACCAACACAGCTAAATACATAGGCTTACAAATGTCTCATTCCCATGGGCGTAGGTTTGCATAGGGACCATAGGGACATGTCCCTATCAAAATTGTGAACCAACCTAATTGTCCCTACCAACAATTGCATGGGAACAACATGGAAACATTTTCCTCTTGCAGCTCCTCTGGCTGGTAGCTGCAGCTGCCTGGTCTTTCCTGTACATTTTACATAGCATCGCATCAACTGTGCTGCAATGTTTAACTCCGCTCTGATTTTTCCACCTTAAGTTCCTCCTTCTCTCTTTCTGATTGCTCTACGCTAGAACAGGTGAAAGCTGCTGATTGCAGTTCTGCAAAGAAGCAGGAGAGGGTTTGGATTTGATGAACTTGAGAAATGAAAGTAACCGTTAGGATTTCTTTATAAAACTAAATATTCTGAGTCAGACAGGAGTTCAGAAACCAGCTGGTAAAATGAACAAAGACTGTAAACTATCAACATTTCTGATTCCCTTTTACCAATATTTCCTTGATATTAATGTTTTCATTTTTGATGGCAGTTCAGGCAAAATAACAGCTGTTATTT